AGATGCTGACCAGGGTGGGACTCACACCTAAGCAGTCTGCCTGTTCTGCCACTCAGATGGATAAATTCGAGTAGGAAATATCAGATCCATTTTTAACAACCAGTCACTTCTGTTGGAAAATGTTTCACAGAGTGATGAAAACAGTCTTTAGAGACAGGCTGTCGGTGAGAATACTCAAGTACCACACATCGTCCTCATGTAAAAGCAGGTGGCTTGGTGACACAGGAGTCCATCCCCAGGGCCCACAGTAGGGACTGAAACATTCACAGGAGCAGCTTCCGGGGGCATCCAGGCCACAGGGGTCTCTACACAGCCTCAGGTAGCTGAGTCCTGAAGCTTAGGACCAGGCTTAGGGGATGTAGAGCCCCCAATCGTCTCTGCACATCTGGAGTGCAGCCAGGGAGGACAGCCCTGCTGCCCACGAGGGCCCAGTTCCATTTCCCCACTCCCCAACCTCAGAAGAGGTGCGGCCGCCTTGGTCAGACATTCACCAAGCTACCTCAAGGTTGCAGGGGGTAGGGTAGACTGAAAGCCGCTGCATGAGCCCACTTCAACACTGGGTCCTAAATTGGGGAGGGCAAGGCAGAGAGCGGAAACAAAAGAGGAAGTTATACTCCAGGCTGACCAGGCCACTCGCTCCCGCTCACCTTCACCAGAAAGGCCCTGTCTAGAGGCTGCCCACAGGTGATTTGTGGCGTTCTGGGAGGCTGTGTGCTCTGTGTGCTTGATGCCTCTGTCAAGAATCCCAGGGAGGGGCCGGGATTTAGCTCAGTGGTGCTGTGCCTGCCTCACAAGCTCAAGGTCCTGAGTTCGATCCCTGGCACCCCCCCCCAAAAAAAAACCCCACAAAGAATCCCAGAGAGCAGGGAGCGGGTGCAAGGGGACTTTGACAACCAACCAGATCACTTCCAACACTTCCCAGAACTGGTACCAGGGTCCAAGGGCCTGAGCCCAGCACATTTTATGCTCCCAAGGGCCAGAATCTCACCCCATCCCCCAGGCTCCTGGTCCTACGCACCTTTCATGCCCCTCTGAGAAGCATAGTTTCAGATCGCCATGGTGGCTGTACCGCTGTTCACGTGGAACATTCCGGCTGTGGTGTAAATGTGGTCTTTATAGAGGTGAGGTTGGGGCACTCAGGATGCTTTGGGCCTAGGTGCCGCTGAGTTAGTGTTGGCCTGGTGCTATGGGCAGTGCCGCCACTCAGAAGGGAAGCCAAGGTAAACACCGCCCGGGTGCTTGCCCCATGCCAAGGGAAGCACTTTGCCCACTGCATATTGAAAATCCAGCTTCGCTAGCAAAAAAGATTTCCATTCTTTATTTCAGTATATCTTTGTGGCCATCATGGAAATTCTGCCTTTTAAAGTATGACTTCTGTGGAAAATATCTATTAGTAAATAACCTTATATTTAGTTTTGGAAATTAAATAATACAAACAGTAACTTGTGGCTGGGGGAGCGGGATGAACAGCATCCAACAAGTCAGCCTTCGTGTACCAAAGGAGGGGGAAGAAAGAGATTTTTCTGAGCACCTGCTCTGGCTGGATTCTGTAGAGTTCTGTGCTCACCTTGTTTTACAAGTGCGCTCTCCTTGTTTTACAGCAGAAACTGAGGCTTGGAGGGCCAGGGAGGAACCCGCCCCAAGTCACCCTGTGAGTGGGTGAGGGCACCGAGATTCGAGCTGAGGGCTCTGACTCTGTACGTTCTTTCCCTGTGCCAACCCCCTGTAGCCAGGGGTCCCTAATCAAAGTTGGCTCCCTCACTTGGCCTTCATGGTGGCATTATCTGTCTATAACAAGGATAGATTCATCACTGCATTATTTTTATGTTCTAGTTACAGATTTTTTCACCAAGTCAGCCTGTTTTGACTAAGCTATTGCAATAGAGTCACACAATCATTTTCCAGCTGCCAATTTTTCGATGCAACCTATGTTTTAGACTAATTTTCATCTGCCATTTATGTGTCTTACCTTCCCCACTAGTCCCTTTGGTGTAAGAAAAGCAAATGCATTTGAATGCAGGAGATTAGGTAGAGGTCTACGAAAGCTTCAGAGGAAAAAGGAGGCATCGTTCTTGATGGAAGCTGGCAGACTCCAGGGCCATGGGACGTGCAGGGATGTGTGCAGGGTGTTCTAACAGCAGGAAATGCTTAGCACTTCCATACTATTTTATATCTACACCATAATTCTAGAAGTCCTTAAAGAACGACCAGATGCCCCCCGCAAAGAAAAGGAGAAAAGAAAACTTCCAAGTCACAAGACATTAAAATAACTGAAAAATGGTTCAAGAACACCAAGCAATAGACATAGGAAAAAAAAAAACAAACAACAAAACAAGTCATCAATACAGATTAAACAAGAGATTTTACATCTTGACCAAGAGGAATTGTAAATTTTTAATTTTTTTAAACCTAAATGATTGGCAGATTAAAAGAGTAAAATTTAAGAAACAGTCCTCAGGACACAGAGATCCTGATCCTCTCTCTGTATACTCTGGTTGGGAAAAGGAAGAGTGCTCTAGAGTGTGGGCACTGGGCCACAGAGACCACCTGGGGGCACAGGCCTGCCTGCCTCTCACTGGCCATGTGGCCTCAAGGTAGCTCCCAATGTCCCCAGGCTCCACTTTCCTAATCTGCAAAGTGGGGAGACCACTGCCACCCCACAGGGTGTCAGGACGAGGGGTGGGAATACCCAGGAAGGGCTCGCTATGAGCGATGCTCAGTACATTACTGCTACTGTCATTATTACCTCTTCAGAGAGGCCACTCTGACAGCTAGGGGTTCATAACCTGGGGCCTGAGGCTCCATCTGCCTTCCAAAACTCTTTACAAAACTGGATGAGTCTGTGTAAATTCTTAAAGGAACTGGAGGCCCCAAAACATTTTTAAACAACTGCTTTTTAAAAACAGTTCCTTTCTAGGAATGCCGAAGGTAACTGAAACGATCAACGGTACCCATTAAGGCAGGCTGAGTGATAAGGCTGACCGGCCACCTTCCCAGCTGCCTCCAAAGCCTCCACATATGGTGCCCTTTCGGGACAGCCCCTCCACCTGATGATCCCCAGGAGCCTGGTGACTTGCTTTCAGTGGTGTCCATCTGCAGGCTACTGCCGGATCTTTGGTCACCAGCACTCACATCAAACGGCCCCTCCTGCGCTGCCGCCCTCAGGAAGAACTGGGAGCCTCCTACACCCACCGTGCTCTGCTCCAGCTGTCGGGGACAGACTCCCATTCTACGCCTCAGTCCTTGGGGCTCAAGCCAAAAACAACCAAAAGCTTTCTCTCCTTCCTGAATGTTTTTCCTGGAGATCTGGGCCGCCCCTTCCCCAAGATGGATACCAAGTGGGGCCACAGGCAGAAAGGAGAAACAGGGAAGGAAGGAGGAAAAGAAGGGAGAGAGGGAGGCAAATGAAGGGAGGAGCCTGCAGTTGACTGACAGAGTAGCAAGGCAGCTCCTGCCTTCCTGTCAGGCTCTATGGGGGCTCATACATGGCTACACGATCTCAGGAGAGCCCCTGAGAAGTCTAACAAGAACCCAAACTCAAACCTTGCCTGTATAAACCATCACACGTGGAGGAGGTGAGCCCAGCCACCAGCCAGGGGGGCGGCTGAGAAGCTGGAGCCGAGTGTGAAAAAAGCTGAGTGTGCCTGCCACAGCTGGTCCTGTCTGCAACACACAGGGAGGAGACGGGACCCTCCAGGGCCCGGAGCTGAGGGAGGGCTGGTGAGGCCAGCTCTCTCTCTCTCACTGACCGTCAGGGCAGCCCTCCCCTCCCCTGGGCTTCAGGGCCCAGTGCAGCCCCTGTGGGGTCTGGAACTCAGTAGTTGTTGAATGAACACAGAAATTAACAGAGCAAGATGGCGTTTTCTTAGCATTACGGATCTTCACCCTTCTCAGTCTGGAGAATATTTTGAAGAGACTGAAGCAAAATGTGCTGATTTTATTATTTTAAACTGTATGGTTGAATGAGTAGGCTTTGAAACCCTTTTGAAAGTTCCTCAGATCAATAAGAAAGACCCCAGCTTGTCCGCATGCTGGTGACTCAAGTCTGTACATTCTTGCTGATGTGACTCAGTCAGAACATAGGAAACCGCGGGGAAGGCTGGGTGCCATGAGTGAAGGAACTGAAAGACCCATGGCAGTTGTTCAGACTCCTAGAGCCCCTCTGGTCTCCGTTTCAGGGAGCCATGCTTTGTGTGTCCTTGAAGCTCAGGGACCTGCCTACAGAATGACCTCTGAATGCAGGGGCTCTGAGCATCTGGCCACAGTGCCACAGTTTTCCTTTGGAAAACACACAGATTGAGCTGAAAGGAATTGGGCCCCCAAAAGACACTTGGGGACCACTGTATGACTCCCAGAAACATCCTGGCTGCACAGCCGGGCTCTGGGTCCAGCCTGGGCCTTGTGACCCTTTGGAAGGTCATTTACCAGAAACTGTGGCACCTCACAGAGCGCTATTGCGGGAGAGGCAGGAGTGGAGCAGGCTGAGGTGTGCCTCATGAGAGCAGTCGGGGGAAGCCCATCCTGGCTGGGGGAGCAAAGCCTCCAACTCACACGGCGCTGTGGGCGCTGCCATCTTAGTAGGCTCACACCTCTTCTTTCCAATAGAACTAATGTTTAAAAAACTCACTCCATGAACATCCGATAAGCGATCTGTAATCCTGACAACCTTGAGCGAGGTAAGCATAATCTGTTCTACAAACAAGGGAGACTGAGGGCTAGATGTGAGAGAGCTGGCCCAAGGACACCCCACGGAGTAAGAGCAGAAACTGGGTGTGGAGTCCAAGCATCTTGACCCTTGACCTGGGCTCTTGATCTTGTATCTATCATTTCTCAAACTTGCAGAACAAAAGTGAGTTCCTTCAAACTCCAGGCCCAGCTCTGGCCCAGCCGGGGCCTTGTGGTTCCACACTAGCGCCCTGCCAGAGGCTGTGCTATCTGGGAGACAGGCGGGGTGTGGCCTGGCAACAGGCAGCATGTGACACGTACACGTCTGTCCCCAGGCCCGTGGAGAGACTGCCTGCAGGCCCTGGAGGACGGCCACGACACCAGCTCCATCTACCTGGTGAAGCCTGAGAATACTAATCGCCTGATGCAGGTGTGGTGTGACCAGAGACACGACCCTGGCGGCTGGACAGTCATCCAGAGGCGCCTGGATGGCTCTGTCAACTTCTTCAGGAACTGGGAGACATACAAGGTGAGACCCAGCGGGGCCTGTCTGTGCTATAACTGGCCCACACCACGCCGAGAAGGACTAGGACAAGGGCATTTTTGCAAATCCACCTGGGTGGGGAGGACAGGCTCCTTCCCTGTCTGCTGCCAGACAGCAGCTCAGAGTCTGGACCACCGAGGTCCCACAGGATGGGGAGGGGGCCCCTCGCTGCAGCTGGAGGGTGGGCAGCATCTTACTCCCAGACGAGTTCCTATGGGAGAGACCTGTTCCCGAAGCCCAGAAGGGCATGTTCTGAGGCTCCTGGGCCTTGAGAGGCTCCCCCAAAGGGCCCACATGGGAGTGTAATAATACCTGGGTCCTAACTGCAGGGCCCACCCTCTGGGCTGCCCATTTCCCAGGGCACTGCATTGCTCATTCCTGCAGTAGGAAAGGCTGCCAGGGCTCAGCTGCACATCACCCCTCCTCGGAACACAGATGGCGCTAAGGTGGCCTGAGCAGTTTGGTCACGAGGCACCTGCCACGTGTCAGACACCACGCAGGGCTCTTGACCGTGACCTCATTGGGGAGGGTACTACTGGTAGGTGGGAAGAGGAAGTCCCTCGCTTGTGGCTGCACAGCTGCAATGCGTCCAAGAAACGGCTGCAGCTCAGACCCCTGACCCCAAAGCCACCACTCGCGTTACTGTTAGCCACGGTGCCTCCACACACGGCTCTGTCGCGCCCCCTCTTGGTCTCCTTCCTTCCTCGTTGTCCCCTAGCCCACTTCCTGACCAGCCTGTGTCTCTGCTTGCTTCTCCACCTCCTAACTGCGGGCTCCTGGAGACTCTTCCACATTCCTCTCTCGCGGAGCAGTACGGCCCAGCACCAAGACCGTACCTTAGCTCGAATGGCGCACCCATTCTAGGAGGATGATGACAGCACCTCACTCGTAAGAGTTTGTGTGAGGACTAATAAAGAACCCAGGGAAAGTTCTCAACAGAGTGCAGGCACACAATAAAGTGCTCACTACACAGTAGTGACTATCACTATGCACACATCCACGTACTCACAAGACGCTGGCAGCCGTTACTCAGATGATGACCGCCAAAACGACATGTTAAAAGGACTGACAAAACCACTCGGTTTCCGACCTCGAAGGGAGCCCAGGGGGGACATGCCGGTTACAGCTCACATCTGTCAGGTGTGGTGGAGATGGCATGGCACGTCCCCAGAGGAGGAAGCTGAGGCTCAGGGAGGCGAGGGCTCTGCCCGAGAAATGCTGGCCACATGCCTTTTCCGTGCCAGGCTTCGAGTGACCACGTCACATGCCCTCCTGCAGCAGCCTGTGGGGATGGCACGGAGGAGGCACTCTCTGTATGTTTGAATGACATGTGACTGAGGGTCAGGAAGGCAGAGCCATTAAGTGAGGGAGTGGGGACAGAGCCAGGCCTACCTGTGTTCTGCTTATTTCCCAGGCTGTTCTACTGGGGCGAGTGTCTTGGTGCTGCGACACTGGTCGGGCCCCTGCAGGCTCCACACTCATGCTCTCCCTGGTCTTCCCCAGCAAGGGTTTGGGAATATTGACGGTGAATACTGGCTGGGCCTGGAGAACATTTACTGGCTGACGAACCAAGGCAACTACAAACTGCTGGTGACCATGGAGGACTGGTCGGGCCGCAAGGTCTTTGCAGAATACGCCAGCTTCCGTGTGGAGCCAGAGAGCGAGTATTACAAGCTGCGGCTGGGGCGCTACCATGGCAATGCAGGTGACTCCTTCACCTGGCACAATGGCAAGCAATTCACCACCCTTGACAGAGACCACGATGTCTACACAGGTATGAAGACTGGAGTCTAACCCGGGTTTGGGGTAGTGAAAAGGGGTCATCCAAAGCCGAGCCCCTCGCTTCAGGGTGTGGGTACAGACAGGCCGAGGGTAATATGCCAAGCTGTCTGAACTTGTTTCCAACTCTCGAAGGGCCCTTCCTTGCCCTGCCCACTGCTGTCGGATCTCCTTTTCAAAGTTGGGTCACAATGGCTTTTACAAAAAGCGAAAGACAGAGCTGTGTACAAATCATATACATATATGAGGGCCACTTGAGCCAGCCCTACTGTGCCCTCTCACCACCGCTCTGTCGGAGGCACACGGCCCACTGGACTCCAGGCCTATCCCTGAGTTCGAAAGCTATATCCTCAACCCACTGCATAATTTCCCTGGAGGCTTCCACATCTGAAAGTAAGAATAACATGTGTACATAGGACAGGGAGAGGGTTAGAGGGAAGGTACCTCAAGTGCCTTGTCTAGGACTTGGGCTTGGCACACAGTGACAGCTCTGTTCACAATCACTGCTATTAGCATTTAATGTTAATGCAACGCTATAAGGAAGCTGTTAGAAGGAAAACAGATAGGAGCGATGAATGACTTGTCCAAGACCATGGAGCTCAAACCCAGGACTTTACTAAGACGTCCTTATCAGATGAAAAGCAGGGGAGAACACAGAACACTATAAGATGCATACACAGGGCCTGGCCCAAGGTGTAGACATCAGCCTTGCCCTGGGTGGACACCTCCCAAGGTCCCACACTGATTTCCTGACACAGGGGCCTCTGGCGATGGATGCAGATGTTGGCAAAGTCAGGCCAAGCCTGAGTCTGCTCCGCTGGGTGGGCCTGACCCCTCCTGCACAGTCTCCTGTTTGGTCCTGGTCTGAACAAGCTCCCCCAACTCACTGTGGAGAAGCAAGCTCTGCAGACTGTCCCAGAAATGACCTGTGCCTCACTCCAGGTCCCCAGGGCAAGTACACTCCCACACTTCTTCTTCCTCTTTTTTTTTTTGGTATCGGGAATCGAACTCAGGACCTCGCGCTTTTGTGGCAAGTGGCGGAACTACTGAGCTAAATCCCCGGCCCAACTCCCACACTCTTGTGGACACTTCTCCCAACATCAGGGGATAGGTAGGATGGGACCCACCCATCCTCACACCACACAGACAGCTCTGTGCACTCACTGACACTAAACTGACCCTGCTGGAAGGGACCCCGAGGAGGAGCAGTGCTCACTCCATGGCAGGAGGTCTCTGGTTGGGGCTGCTGAGGCTTCCAGGAGAGCTGGGCAGCAGGAGGGCCCTCAGTACTCATCAGACCCTGGGACACCATGGAGGGGCTGCGGCAGCACTTCTTGAGGGCCACCATGGGGAGCAGAGATGAGAGCACTCCGTAACTTAAGGCTCTCAGATGGGTTCCTGGCCCTGATGTGTGGGGCAAACAGGACTCTGACCGTGGTGTGCCAAGGACTCGCCCTGCCTCTTGGTGTCTGTGGCCTTGAGTCATGGCCCAGAAGGAGCCCCCCCAACCTCTGGGAAACCTCAACTTTCTGCTTCAGACTGCCTGTGAGCTCCTCACCCCAGCCCACGGCCTTGGCTCCTTGGATGAGGCCGCCCCTCCCTGAGGAAGAGGTCCCCCCTCCCACGCTCCCCAATGCAGCCCACGTGACTGTGGCTCCTCTTGGGCCTTTCGCCTGGGGAGCGATGTCCCTGCACGCTTGCTCACACCTTGCCCACGCATCTCATTGTTCCGAACTGCTTGTCCTTGGCAGCAAAGCTCAGCATGATATGATAATGCCAAGAGTTTCATGGAAATAGTCTCCTTTTATGAAATGACACAAAAAGTTATTTGGATGGAGTATAGGCTGGGGAAGAAAAGAGGGGTATTTCTTCTTGAATACTTCTTTTATCATTATAAAAAGACTCTTGATCCAGTTCTTTCAACTCTTAAAAATTCCTGTGAAGAACTCCTTTCCCTCCCTCCCCCGCCAGCCCATCTCCATTTTCTGCAGAACCTACAGTGAGGACCGCTCTGCTCCTGCTGCAGGATTCCTCTGGAGGAGGCTGGGCTGAGAGTGAAACACTGGCCCTCATTGCATCCTCGCAGTGGCCCGTCCTATGCCATAGGCATTATTTTCGCCTTACATTTACAGATAAGAATGCAGTGTCTGGGAGAGGTTAAGCCACTTGTCTGCGCTCTTATAGCTAGCTGGTTGCAAAGCTGAGCCTCAGAGGCAGGTCCGAGCAGGGCTATAGCCTGGCTTTGACCTCTGCTGTAGAGGGTCCGTTTTTCTGGTGGTCTTGCTCAGAAGGCCTCCCACCGAGGGTTTGGGGGAGACCCTAGCACCTGCCCAGACACCTGCTCACTCTCTTCTCTCTCCTGTAGGAAACTGCGCTCACTACCAGAAGGGAGGCTGGTGGTATAACGCCTGTGCCCACTCCAACCTCAACGGGGTCTGGTACCGTGGGGGTCATTATCGAAGCCGCTACCAGGATGGGGTCTACTGGGCTGAATTCCGAGGAGGCTCCTACTCACTCAAGAAAGTGGTGATGATGATCCGGCCCAACCCTAACACCTTCCACTAAACCTGCTCCCCTCCTGACCTTGCGTGGCCATCTCCAGGAGCCCGCCCCGGCCGCGCAGGCCCAGCACAATGAGCAAGTCCTCGCTGGTTCTTTCTGGGGCTGGGAGGACTAGGCCCCCTGGATTCTGTTTTCCCAAGTCACTGTGCCAGATGATGGAAGTGAACTCATACAGTGTCCTCTGTCCCTCCTACTTTTCTTCACACCCAGAAGCCCCTCATGTTTCCAGAACAGGACAGGACTGCTGACAACTTTGTTTAAAAAAAAAAAAAAAAAAAA